GGGTGTGTGTGCGCGGACGGCCGTCGGGGCGCGCGCGCGCGCACTCGCTCGCTCGCTCGCACGCGCGCGCACGCCGCGAGGCCTTCGTCGAGCTCATCCTCGGCCTCTGTCGCACTTCTTTTTACCGAGGGCGGACGCTGAAACTTTTGGATCGTTGCGAGCGGGTGGCGTCGCTCCACTGGGGACTGACAGGTCAGAACGTGCATGAAAGGGACTCGGCGGTGGGACGCCCCCCTCCCCCCGCCGCCCCCCCCTCCCATCCACCAGCACACGTCTTTCCGTGTTCCTTTGGCTTGTTTTGGTCGCGGGCCGCCCCGTGTGCCTGCGTCGTCCATTTTAGCAGACTGTTGTTGTGCTGGAGGTTGTTGGAGGGCATATGGATGCCCGAGCGAGCAGTTTGGGCTATTTATTTATTTATTTGTATTCTTTTGGGGACCAAAACAGTCAGGCGTCAGCTGCCGACCACAAGCCTTACATGGTTTCCATGGTTTCCGAGCCCCCCCACCCCCCATGAACGTATGGAAAGTATGATGCTCGCTTCTCTAAGGGATCGAGGTCACGGGGAAGATGTGAGGGTTTTGTCTTGGCGCTTTAGCCGAGGAGCTCGGAAACTTTTGGGGTTCGCGCACATTGTTTTCCAATCCGAGGGCCACCTCATCATCGTAAGGCCGCTTCAACTTCAAGTGATTATTTCGTTGCTGCTTTTCCACTAACATCATTTCTTGCCATTCATTTTTTGACCCTCCAAATTCCTGTTTGTTGGCACAAGCTGTAGAGCACGTTCTCTGCATGACCTTTTTTTTTTTTTTTTTTGATATATATGGATCGGCAAAAAAAGTGGCAAAATATTGGCCAAACTTTTGGGGGAGAATGTCATTATCGTTGATTTATGTTGTCATGTATTAACGTGTAAAAAAAAACCAACACGGCCAATTTTTGCCTCTTTTAAAATATCAGCTGATTGAATCGGGCCTCGTCATTTGTTTGCTATCGTTGTTTTCTCCCAAAACATGCAGGAAGAAGGATGCCAACTGCTTGCTTTTGTGCGTCCCAGATTTTGTGTGAGTGTGTGTGTGTATATCTACTTGTCTATGGCGCAAATCCTCGCCGTATTGCGGAAATCTGTTATGCCCTCGCATGTGGGAAAGGAGAGCCGCAGTCATCAATGCGCTGTGTCAGCTTATGGAAGGTTAGGAAAAGGCTTCTATGGAAAGAGCACGTTGACTCCGGAGCGGCTGTCGGGCCGCAGCTCGCGCCCAGAAACTCCGCCTCTTAAACCCACATTGCTGTCATAATACATCAATACTATACTACAGTGCATATGCAAATCAGGAAACAATTTGTTTCGAATTGCATTTCAGGAAGTTGTTTTTGGATTTTTCTCGATCAAGAATTTTGACCTGTTGCGTGTGGGCCTGGAATGTAACCTCCACGATTCAAGGGGGGCTCACTGGAATCATGAGGCTTGGAACCAGCTGGAGTTTTGTTCGCTCCAATATTGGCAGAATATATCATCAAAATCTGACAGCCGATTTTAATCAGCTGCTTAATTAAAAAAAAAAAAAATCTGTCTCCCCCATATATATATTACAAACCTTTTTTTTTTTTTACGGGTGGGCGGCAATTACTGGCAGGTTTTCGTTCTTGCGGGGTTTGTTTGATTTTTCACTCCCGAAAATTTTGCAGAAAATAAGTATCGTCTGACACGTTGCCATCATGACTTTTTGGATCTGTATTTCATCTGTGAAAGCTTATTTGAGCTTGCCAAGAACAGACGTAGCACACGGTCGGGCTGTCGTTTCGACGTGGTTACGGTTGACCCCTGGCTGCCGACTGCCAAGAAGCGACGCTCCCCGAAAAGGATTTCCTGTCGTCATGGTTTCGACCAGAAATAGACCACAAACTTTAAAACGTGACGACTTTTAAGCCACTGTGAAGAACAAAAAGAACAAAAAAAAAGTTGTGTGAGGCAACAAATTTTGAGGAAAATTTGAAGTTGGGTAATTCAACAAAATTTTGGAACTCGTGCTGCAAATAGATTCTTCCCTCATTTTCCACACAGAACTTAGTTGACAGGACTGAATGGTCCCCTATCCCCAAGATGGAATTCCCGTAAAAGCACCCGGGCAACTTGTTTTGGGGCACACAGCTCGCTTGCTTTGTTGCGCTAACTGACATGGTGGTGCATAGTTTTGAAGTTGCTCCAACTGAAATGACGGCTTTCGACCAAATCCGAGTTGTGTTTTTTACAGTGTAGCGTTTCAAATGGGTTCGGTCCTACTTTGGTGAAGGGATCACGAGCCAAGGCAGGCACGGGCGCCGCCCTTCCCGAATTGGCTTTCCGCTAACTGTGAGCCACCAAATTCTCGGGGTGTTTTTTTGTTGAAATGGGAACGGCTTCTGCCTTGGAAAGCATCTCAGGAAGGTCATTGCCGTCTCTTCAGAGAAGTCGCAGCGTGCCGATGAGTTGGGCGCGGCGCGGGTGCGCGTGGGCCGCCGTCTCGTCCCCTCCGTCCCGTTCCGCTCGGTCTTTGGCGGCAGCGGCGGCGGCGGCCGGGTGGGCTCGTGCAAACAAAGTTCAGCGGCGAGTCTTCACAGACAACCGAGCGCGGCTTCCATTAGGGCCCGTCCGGGAGTGAAAGCCCGAGCGACACCTTCCCCATCCCGCATGCTGCCCCCACTCCGTGTGCACCCCCGCAGCCCTCGCGCACGCAACAAACACGGCGGACACGCTTCTGCTTTTTGCGGGATGTTGTTTTCAGCAGGGTGGGGGAGCGCCACGGCGTCACGTCCACGCTCGCAGATTTGGGAAGAGCGCTAATTCCTCAAAGCTGCTTCTTTGGAAAACCTCCACATGACGCACACTAGCGGGAACACCAGCCGGCGCTGGGAAAAGTAGGACAACTGTTACAGCGATCAAAATATTGTCGTGAATGACAACCACGTTGGTTAGGAGTCAGACAAATAATGAGTCCTTACATTATTATTCAAATGAACTCGAGCACACGGAACGTTCTCAAAAAAGCACGACGGGTCGAAACCGCTACACCCCCAGTACAAAACAATCCATTTTCGATTTGATTTTTTTTTCATTTAAAAAAAAAAAAAAAAACTTCATAAAATAACCCACCGATTTTAACATCCCCGTTTTTGAAATGAATGAATTGGTTTGTTGGCGACAGCTAAAGTCAACGTGCCTCCAATTGGACAGTGAATGACATATTTGACGATCGACATTGAATTCTTTTCCATGTTGTGATCCACATGAACGACTTGGCTCCTCTGTCCAATTTTGCTTTGAATTGTCACCCGACGTGATGGCTTCACGGACGGCTCGTAAATCACGACGCCAAAACACAGCTCAAATGACCTTTGTGATTGCATGCGCTGCGATTGGCTGGCAACCGGTTCAGGGTGTCCCCCGCCTACTGCCCGAAGACAATTGGGATAGGCTCCGGCGCCCCTCGCGACCCTTGTGAGGATGAAGCGGATCGGAAAATGAATGAGTGATTGCATGCGATGCTTCATTGTATTTTTATTCCATTCGTCAATTCCTGACTCCATGACTCCACTCATGATAAATCGAGCAACTTCAAGCTCGGATGAACGATCTGAGAGGGCTAAAAGCTTGTTCATGTGCACAGTTGATGGGGTCTTCATGTTTGGATTTGATGGAATCCCAAGGTCCGTTTCAGAAATCCGAACTAGACAACGTGGCCTCTTTGCTGCACTTGGGGTAACTTGAAAGCCTGACGCTCAGGAATTTGTGCGAAGGGAGACATCTGGACTGTTCCGAGATCTCGGAATGATGGGGAGGAGCATCGCCAATTGCGATTCCTCCTTGTGTGGGCGACTTGGCCACCGGGGGCAGTATAGCACACTCACCGGAGACTGAGTCCACTGCGGCGGCATGAGTTGTTCTTTGCAGAGGATAAAGCACATATGCCTGTATTGTTCTGGTGTCTCTCGACATGTGTCGATGTGGCCTTTGTGTTGCCCAAAGCTTTGTCACCTTGCGACGAGCGATGCCATTTGTGAGCCGGTCTATGGAGAGCAAAGTGTGGAGTTCACCTGACGCTCGTATCTCAAAGGGGTTGCTCGCAAGTCAAGGCAGAACCTTGGTCGGACGCCAGGCCCCGCCGCGATCAACTCAGTATGTCGACACCGCTTGTATGTCAAGACACGCCATGATTAATCGGCCGGACAATTTCATCAGCTATTCGCTCTTTTAAAAGTGGCAAACTAATATTTGGTTGTTTTTTGTCGTTGTTTTTGAAACACATGAGAACAGAAGACAATAACGTTCAAAGATTTTTTTTTTTTTACTCTGTTGTAAAGTTCAACAAATACTCAAGGACAACGTATTGCAGGGCAGTAAATGTTCTGTCTGTAATTTACATTTTCAATCAAGGACCTAAAAGAATTCAGCAGATGTTGTTTTAATTCATCGGCCGATTCATCACTTATCGTCAAATGCCAGGAAATCTGTATCGCTTGGGCTGCCACGCTCGGCCTCGACATTATACGTAGATCAAGTCGCTCCGAGGCCGCTTGAAATTTTTTGGCCAATTAAAAAAAAAAAAAAGAGAAAGGTGTGCAATCGTATCCACCGGGGCCCAGACGATCAGACCTCATTTAAAAACTGGCAAAAATCAGCCAATCTTTGATGCCGATTTTTGCTGATGTGGTCCCCCCCCCCCCACCACATTGTTACATTACAGCAGAAGACAAATGACATTCAAACGTTCCTCCCCGAACAAACAAACACACAAAAAAAAAAACGATGATTTTTTTTTTCTCTCTGGTGTAAATTTGAACAAATACTGACGAGTCAAAGGTCCTCCGTGTAATCCATCTATTTATCGAAAGCACAAAGGGACCCAAAAATATGTCGTTTGAGTGAGATTGACCGGTTCTCGGCGTTTTTCTTCCGCCAAATAGGGGAGGTGGCGTTTGCCTCAAAATCCATTTCAGTCGGGCTCTAATATCCGCTTGACGGCATGACCGAGGGAAGGTTGGAACGTCAATACGTGCAGCCGGAAAAAGAGGCAAGGGACGGGGAGACCTTTTCTTGTGCTTGTGCCTCGGCCAGCCGCGGCCGTCATGCAGGCTGTGCCTTCGCACGGCGCCAGCGTGCGTCACAGGAGTGGGAGGGGGGGGATAGCCAAAGGGGGCGGCGGTTGCAAAGGGGAGGGCAGCGTCGCTTCGTCTCGCATCGCTTCGCCTCGCACGCACGCAGGCAGGCAGGCAGGCAGGCATTTTCCTGGCGCGGGCGCCAGATGAGACGCTGACATTTGGAGCCCGGGCGCCGTCTCTCGCCGAGTCCTCCCACTCGCAACCCACCGGGGTGCTCGCCGTCAGGGCTTTCCTCTCCGGCGTGTCGCCAGTTCAGCATCGAGTCCAAATCACCCAAGGCTTTTGGGCCTCGCAATTCAGTACGCGAAGAAGAACACCGGCGTCCTTCCACTGCATTCTTTTCCACGATTGGATGACGCGTGTGTGTTTGTCCTAGTCAGAGGACAAAAGTGCACGAGTGGACACCCGCCCTCTCGACTCGTCCCGCTCTTTGTCTTTGGTCCAAATCAAGTCTTTCGAATGCGTATTTCTCGAGCGTTTGAAAACAACCACCGCTGTACACAAAGTGCCGTACATGGCGCAAAAAGAGGCCAGGCAACAACAAACGAATAACGATGACGGTAGAAAGCGCAAGAACGGTCCAACTCAAAATCAAGTCTCATGCCGAGTCCAAAGCCCGAGAATCTAAATGACGAGTTTGGAAGATGGGCGGCGAGGGGGGCTTGCCAAGAACGTTCATTCCAAAGAGAGGGCGTGGCAACAGAAAAGGCCGCATCCCATCAGAGTCTCCGCTTAGTTTTCGGTGCCTCTAATAATGTCCCGTCCGCGGACCGGAGGCACCCGGGTAGGAGCTTCCGAGAGGTCAGGTGGGAACTCTAAAAAAGGAGCCAGTGAAGGGATGCCAGAGTAGGAGCGTTGCGCTCCCTCTTTATACGAGTACCTGTCAAAAGGCGAGCGGCGGCATTCTGGACCGACTGGAGACACTTGATGGAGGATTGGCTGACTCCCAAGTCAAGTGCGTTCCAGTCATCCGGCCGAGATGTGACAAGAGCATGAAGGACTGTATCTCCAAGTGCTCTTAAAAAAAAAAAAGCAGAGGCTTGACTTTCGCCATCTCCCTTGGATGAAAGAAGCTGCATTTGACAACGGCACCGATTTGCCGCTGCCATTTCAAATCGCTGTCCAGTTTCAGACCCAAGTTTCGAGTGCAGCTTACACAAGTATCTGTGATAGAAACAATTCCAATGACGTTCCCGACATGTATGAGCGTCCGCCAGCAGGGTCGGACTTGGGCGCCTTCAAAGTATCGGTGGCTGCTACCGGCAGCATTGGCGAGTCCCTGATACCTTGAGAGAAGGCCGCTCCTGATACTCGCCCCTCCCCCTCGTTGCTCGCGCAGCACAATCGTTTGCGGGTCAAGGTTAATCGCATACGCTCGGAAGTTGCCGAACGGTGCGGCGCGTTTGTCGGTGCCGACCCTGAAATGGGCCCCGTTGTTGACGGAAAGGTTCTTTTGCCATGCCTGAGCGTGCTTTCGAGTTTTTTCATGACATTTTGTTTCTGCGTGCTTTTCTTCTTATTGCTGCGATGGTCCGAGCGTCCGCTTTTGCTTTGTTCCTGACTTCTTTTCTGCTCCTTCCAGTACCATTAGCTGAGCCAACGCTCCGTTTTGCAAATCGGTGAGCAGTCGTTCGTGCTCGTTCATCGCGGCTTCGGCCTCCGTCAAAAATAATGCAGACTATTCTTTTTTTCCTCCATCGCCCAGCCCCCATCGTGATTATGCGACAGTGACGAGGCCGTGAATGGACGACGCCGGCGCTCTGTGGTGATGAGGGAGCAGGGAAGGAGTGTGATTCCCGGCACAGCCTTTCTGTCGCTGCCTTTCTCTGTCCGCTCTCTCTCTCTCTCTCTCTCTCTCTCTCTCTCTCTCTCTCTCTCTCTCTCTCTCTCTGTCTCTCTCCCTCTCGCGCCTTCCTCTGCAATAACAGTGCTGACCTAGTTTCTGCTTGTTCAGTGCTGCCTGTGGAATTTTACAGCGGCCTGCCTTCCTGGCCGCCTTGCCGCTTGAAAACGCAGGCAGCAAAGCATGACTGAGGATTTTTGTCTCCTCGCGTCATTTGCGCTCTTACGCAGGCTCCCCCCCCCCAACCCCGCGTGCCAATCGGCACTTTTACAAATTGCCCCTCGTGAATAAGTCATAGCCTAACTAAGACTCGTTGCAAGTTGTCGGCCCACCCGGCGCTCCTCCGCGCGGCGTCGTCGTCACGTGCATCAGCCGGCCGGGCCTGCGGTCGGAGGGAAAAAATGCAAAAGAGCTCGTTTCGCGTTCTATCCGCTCGCGGAAGGCGGCAAGGCAAACGTCGGCCGTGCGGTGGCAGGAAGTAACCCTGCACGTATACTCCATGACTGTACTCCAAGCGGTTTCTATCCAAATATTTCTACCCGAGGATTTAGTTGTCTGATGGCTTTCCGCCCTCGCTTTTTGAAGCTTTGGGCTTCATGAAGCGCTCCGGTCACAGCCTGACACTGCATCAATGAAATGGCCGGTGCGCTGCTCCTTCTGGTGTGCCCGCCTGGGGCATCGCCGCTCATCTCTCAGATCATCAGTACGTCGCTGATACGAGTCGTCCTTTGGAGAGGAAAGAGCTTGAGGCCTCTTTTTTTTTTTTTTTGGAGAAAGAGGGGGTGGTCCCTGTTGCGCCTCGAAAACTGGTTAGCAAAGCTATGTGAACACATTATTTGGATCGCATAAATGTCATGCGTTTGCAAACCGGTTCTTCACATGTGATGCAATTTTTAATAACTTTTTAAAATGTAAAAAGGGGTCAAACGAGAACTTGTATTATTTGCTTATTTCTATATTTATTTTGACATAAGGATCATCTCCTTAGGGTTGAAGTCCAAGTGCGAGTGCTGCTGTGCGACTGGCACGCAGCGGCCCCTCCCTCCCTTTTCATCTTTCCTCTCCCTCACAACGAAAGAGTTAAATTCCTGTCGAGCAGATACGAAGCCCTGCCAGGAATGTCCAACGAGGCCGGAGTGGAAAGAGAGCGCGCCTGTTTTGAGGAGCCATCGGGGTCATTCATCTGAATCGATATGGAGTCTTGATTCAAAGGGGTGTCGCGGCCGTGACTCGGTGACTCATTGCTTTTCGACCTCTCGTTTATGGGGTGCATTGAAAGTGGCGTTTTGCTCGTTGAATAAGTGCGAAGTTTTGCAGTCAGGTCACGCTGGGGTTTATTTCATCGCAATTTCAATCTGGGTCAGAATATTTGCGATTCTTCTTTTTTCCATCTTCACCCAGCTCGAACGTATCGACAGTGGTACTTTGACCTTTCCCCATAAAGAGGATTGCCAGCAGCTCGCATCCTATCGGAACAACAGCACTCCGCAGCATTGTATTGGCTAAAACATCCAGTTTGGAAGGTGAAGAATTCAACAGATTGTCAACATTTATTTCCTTGAATTCAGGTGGGCACACTGCGGCTCCTTGTGTGCAAGCCTTGGCCACGAGTGGGAAGTAGATTACATGCATATGGAGTGATGGAACGCCGAGACAAGCAAAGCCGTGATTGAGGTTCCTCATCTTTTTTTTTTTTTTTTTGCGCAGAGCACGAAAGAACACTTGCCTGTGATAGAACAGTGAGAGGCTCTTCCAGTGGATGGCGAAAAGTGCAAGTCATCGCTCCATCCGACTGTTGCGACTGTTGTGTTCAACTGAACACCATGCATGTGTTCCCCCCCCCCCCAAAAAAAAAAATCACATTGAGATGGCTCAAATTTTCCAAGTCTTTTGTGACATTTTTGTTTGGCGGCGTGCCGTGAGATTTTTCGGACGTTCAATCCGCGCCTTGGCTTCATCGGCGTTGTTGGGTCGAGTGGAGTGTCGTGAGTGCGTTTGTGGGGACGCGCTTGTGTTTGCGGCGAATGCTGAAGACCCCTGTTGTGTTTTTCTTCTCCTTTCAGATTTCGGGTGCTGGTCATGGTGTCCGGGGTGAAGGTGTGGGACCCCCTCCACGCGGGCCTGATTCGCTCTCGTCTGAGTGAGCGACACCCCGCTTCCGGCTTCGCGCCGCCCTGCGCCCTCATACATCGCGTCGCCAAGGACGCCCCTTGCCGGCAGAGTCAGCGCCCGACGCCCTTGTCATCGACTCGAGGAAGCGCCGAAGCCTTTCCGCCGGCCGCCGGCTCAAACCGGGCCGAACCGGACGCTCGCCGGGAAACCCGTCGGCCGGGGATGAAGGGGAAAAGGCACGGCGGCCGAGGGGACGCGATGATGGAGGACAGGCCGGAAAGCGTGGCCGACGGGCCGAGAAATGCAAAAATCACCCTCAGCTTCCCGGTGAGCGCCGGGCCCCTCCCGGCCTCGCTGACGTCATCCGGCTATTGCCGTAACAGCGCGTCATCCTCTTCCCCGCACAGACGCCGGCCTTCTTCTAAAAGCTCCGACGAGGGCTCTCTCTGGAAACTGGACTCCACCACGGACATAAAGCACAGACCTTTTAAGCCCCCGAGGCACGACAGCTCGCCGTCCTCGTCACCCTCCTCCTCCTCGTCCCCAATGACCGCTCACGCGCTGATCGCCGGGAAGGACATCAAATCCCCGCCGCCGCTCAAGTGCTCCAAAGTGTCTCCGGAGACGCACTTTGCCAGGTCGGCGCCCGGCGGTTCTTCCGGCTCCTCTTTGGCGGGCTCTTGCAGCGGGGACGGATGGGATGAGAGACGGTGCTTGGTCAACGGCACGGCTTCGCCCTCGCAGACGGCCCAGATCCTCTTCAGCCTGGGCGCCTCGGCCTACCAGAGAGGAGGCGGGGAGGCGGAGCGAAAGGAGAAGACGACGGGGCGTGCCACCCCCTCCTCCTCCTCCTCTTCCTCCTCCTCCGTCCGAGGGCCTCGGCGCGCCCCTCCGCGCCGCCTCCTACTCCCCCGCCGAAAGCGTCGAGCCTGAGCTGATTTGCGGGGTGTGCCGCCGGCTCTTCAGCTCAGCCGCCTCGCTCACTGTCCACATGCGGCTGCACCGCGGGAGCCGCGCCCTGGGCTGCCGCTTCTGCGGCAAAGTCTTCATCCACAGCAAGAGGCTGCACTCTCACGAGGCCTCCTGCGGAGCGCAGGGCCCGCCTCCCAGGCCGGGCCCGTCTCTCGCCGTGCGGCCGAAGGAGGAGCCGCTGGAGGAGGGCGAGGTGCGAGCGGGGGAAGGGCGAACGGACGCGGGCGAGCCGAGGCCGGAGATGAAAGGCGGCGACGACGACGCGTCGGCCGCCGAGCTGCCGGCCGGCGACCAGAGCCATTTTGTGAAGGTGGTGGACGGCAACGTCATTTACTTCTGCTCCGTGTGCGAGCGCTCCTACATGACGCTGTCCAGCCTGAAGCGTCACTCCAACGTGCACTCGTGGCGCCGCAGGTACCCGTGCCACTTCTGCGACAAGGTCTTCGCCCTGGCCGAGTACCGCACAAAACACGAGGTGTGGCACACGGGGGAGCGGCGCTACCAGTGCATTTTCTGCTGGGATGCTTTCGCCACCTACTACAATCTCAAAACTCACCAGAAGGCCATCCACGGCATCAATCCCAGTCTCATCTCCAGCGAGAAGACGGCCAACGGCGGCTACAAGCAGAAGGCCAACGCCCTCAAGCTCTACCGCCTCCTTCCCATGCGCTCTCAGAAAAGACCGTACAAGACTTACAGCGATTCTTTGCACGATGCGCTGCTGATGTCACCGGCCGAAGCCCCTCCCCACCCCCTGCCCGGACTGGGCTGCGCTCTGGGACCCGCGGACTTGCAAAGTTTCATCGGCGGGGCCCGTCCTCAGAGCGTCAAGCCCGACCCCGATCGCTTTTCCGGTCACGTCCCGGCCGCGGACGACGGCGACGGCTTCCCCCGAAGAACGGACCCGGCCCGACCTCGGAAACACGACGGCGAGGCCCACGGGTCGGAGCTGGTCCCGGGCTGCTCCAAAACGTCCGGTAGCTGCAAAACCAAAAGCCACAGAGCTGCCAGAGCCGCGGACTCCTCGAGCACGCCTTCCGTGATCACATACGGTCACCCGAAGCCCTCGGTCATCGTTCACGGAACCGCCGTGTCGTCCTCCGTCATCGTGCACAGCAAGCAGGTCGCCCCTGGAAGCGAGCAAAACGAGCTCCCCGACGTCAACGTCGGTCAGCACTCCCACAAGGGCGGCTCGAGGTCGTGCAAGAGGCCGCGGGATTGCGCGGACGGCCACAGGAAGAGGTCCCGAGACAACTCGGAAGCGGCGACGCGGGATACGCAGTCTGGCTGCGGGCCACGTTTGAAGTCCGGAAAGTCCCACGGCAAGAACGACCCATCAAGGTCCGAGCCGTCGTCGCCGTCGGTGAGCTCGCCGGTCAAAGAGACGGGCCCGCTGTGCCAGATCACCGTACGCATCGGCGAGGAGGCCATCGTCAAGCGGAGCATCTCCGAGACGGACCTCAGGAGAGACAAAAGCCGCTCCCCCCCCAAAGCCAAGAAAGGCCCGGCGTCTTCGGGGAAGGCCGCCCATCATCCGCGCAAGCGCCACATCCACCGGCGGGCTAGCCGGGGGCGGGAGGCCGACGCGGGAGGGGCGAGCAAGGAGCAGGCGGGGCAGAGCGCGGGCAACTCCTCCGACGAGTTGAGGGAGTACGACTTTCGCCGAAAGGTGCGCGAGCAGGAGAGCGACCACGACACGGAGGACAATCTCTGGCGACCCTACTACTCCTACAAGCCCAAGAAAAAGGCCCAGGCCCACCTGCAGAGGTTCAAAAGCTGGCAGCGAAAGCTCAAGTTTAAGCGCGCTCTGCGGCTGAAGAGGAGAGCGGAAAGGCTGAAAAAGCGCGGCGGCACTTCACACGACGACGAGGAGGAGGGCGGAAAGCCGTCGGGGGCTGACGAGCAGGGATGCGGAAGAGACGCGAAACCAGCCAAGGACGGCCGCGCGGAGCTCGCCGCCGCTTCGCCGCCATCCCCCAAGCCTCCCCTCGCCACCGCCGTCGCTCCTTCGGGACTGAAAAGGCGGCCTTGGACCACCGGAAACGTGGCCGAGTGCGCCACCTGCGGCTGCTGGTTCTCCAGCTCCAGCAAGCGGGACCAGCACGAACTGAGTCATCTTCTGGAGTTCGTGTGCCTCTTCTGCAGAGCCGCGTTCCCTTCCAGGGACAAGTTGGAGGACCACCAGAGAATCCAGCACCCCAAGCCCGCCGACACGTCCTCGGCCCTTCAGAAAACGCCGCTCGCCGAACAAGCCGACGCGCCCAAACCCGAAAAGGAGCTTCAAGTGGACTCGAGCCATTCCAGTCCCGCTCGGCTGAGCAGGAGAGCCTTGTCACGCCACACCTGCCCGCAATGTCACAAGGTCTGCAAGACGTCCTCTGCGCTCAGCCGGCACATCCGTCGTCACGAATTCGGCACTTCTCCGGGGAGGGAAAAGGAAGAGGACGTTCCGCCGCCCGAAGCCGCGGCCGCCAGCGGAGACGCGCTCCCTCCCAAAGGCCAAGTTGTCTCGGTCATCAGCTATTCGACCGCCGACCCCCCGAAAAGCGCCGAGCCTTCATCGTCACCGGACCGCTGCGGCGAACCGACGACCCGGCGCCGGCAAGCCGTAACCGCCGACGGGCCGGAAGCGGCCGAGCGCGCGGACCCGAAACCCGAGGGCAAGAGCGGCCCAAAGATGAACGAGAGCCCGGTGAACCTTACGCCCGCCAAAGCGCGCCTCGCCCCGGCCACGCCCCCTACTCTCCAGAGCGTGCTGGTCATGAACCGGCCCGAATGTTTGGACTACCGCACCCCGGGCAAACGCAGCTTAGACAGGCTGGCGAACCCCGCGCACAGCATGGCGGCCCCGAACGCCTCCTCCGATGTGCCCGAGGCGCCGCAGACCAGAATAACCGCGGCTGCTCCCCCTGTTTCCATGGCAACCGTTCACGGCTCCGGTCGGGGATTCGTGACGCGAGACGGGGTCATTATGGACAGAGAGAGGCAGGCCCGCAGCGCTATGTTTGCGCACACCGGCTTCAAGGGACCCCCCCCCTCGGTCCAAGATCTCCAAGTCCAGTCCCGATCCCGCAGTACGTCTCCCAGTGAAGCACAAGACCTGACCATGTCGTCCATACTCGCTCGAGAGAGAGAGATGGAGAGGCAAACGCTACGAAAGCGGGAGCTGGAGAAGCGCCGAGACAGGGGGAAGGACAAAGACCGAGGGAAAGACGCGGAGGCGGTCCAGCGCACGAGGCAACCTGAACAGACCCCGGCGGACCAAACGGCCCTGTTAGTTCCTAAAGAGGAGCCTTTGAGTCCCGTGCCGTCCCCCCAGCGCATCCCCTGCCAGTCTCAGACCGGTACAAACGGCCCCCCGTTGCGCAGACACACCGCGAAGTCCCCCTGCCGCCCCGCACTCTTAGCCGCGGCCAGCCAGCAGGCCCAAGAACTGGACCGGCTCACGTCGCCCGGCGGGGGGGAGCGGCCCTCCGCCCACGCTCTCCTCCTGCCGCGGCCGCCGAAACCGCCTGAGCCCGAGCGCCGGGAGACTTCCAGGGACGCGCAGCACGCGGAGCCGGCGCCGGCGTGCTACCCTCACCAGGATTACCCCCTTCCCCTGATCGCGCCGGACAACTATCGGCCGGCAAAGAAGCAGCAAGACAACGTGCTTGTGTCCTCCTACCCGACCGGCGCGCTTCCCTTCGGCCCGCTGGGAAAGATGATGGTCCCAAATGGCGCCGACTTGGCCAAGCTGCCCTTCTATCCGGACCCGTACCAGCTCCTCTACGGGTCCCAGCTTCTGGCCTACCCGTACAACATGGCGGCGCTTCCCGTGGCGCTCAACATGGTGGCGCCTGGCGCGGACAAGGTGGAGCCTCTGCCCTTTCTGCCGGCCATCTTCAACTACGCGGCCGGCGCGGGGCCCTACGTGGGCGCGGCGCCGCACCCGCTGGTGGCCAACCCCAGCTTCTACGGCGGCGGTGGCAAGAAGCAACGAGACGGCAGCGGTCACAAACCATAGCAGGCCAAAAGGATTCTTTTTCGAGGATAGGACTGGGGAGTGAAGGGGTGTGGCCATCGTTCACGTGACCTCTCAGCACCTCCTTCCTCCCACCTTTGTTCTCTGCTGTTTCGCCGTCGTGTGTCGTAGTTCTAGAACTTGATGCTCTTATCGTGACTATTCGAATAAGCACTGCGTACAGGGTGTGTTTTTCCGGCGCCTGAGAGCGAAGCGACTCCAAGCCAGTTTTTCGCACTGCTTGCAAAAAGTTTGGGATCTTGGGCTAAAATTCAGGATGGGCGGGGAGGGAAATCACCTTCACATTTGAACTCTGGCTGCTAAAATCTCACCCCAACGCCCGATTTTGTGAGTCGTGAATGTGAAGCGTACGGGCAGGAACCTCCCCAGATGTGCTGCGGCGGTGCGCGCTTGTGTGGAGGACAGCTCGTAGGTCGCGCGCTGCGACGAATGCGCCGTCCGCCCTCTCGCCGGCGTCGAAAGCGCGCGTGCAGAAGGGAGACGTCGTCCGGAAGAGTGCACGACTGCTCGTCTTGACACACCGTGTGACTTTGTGTGGCCGGACGACACTGTAGGATGTGTATAGCCTAGTTTCACAAAAATAGTTGCGTCGGGAGTGGGCGTGGGGGGGGCGGGGGGCACATGTAGCTGCTTTGGATATGTAGCTGGTCACTGGGTTAAGAAATGCAGGCTGGTAACTCTTGCACTTCCCTTCTTCATCTCACTTTCTTGACAAAAGAGAGGAAATGCAATGCCGCCCCTCCCCCACCCCCGCCCCCTTCCAAACTCCCTACTTGGAGTCGATGGAGTA